CAAAGGATTCTAGTCTCAGAATGAAAATGAAACAAGGATCTCAACTGCTGAGATTCACATAATCCAGCTACCTGGGCTCATCTCTCTCAGTCATATTCAGCCATCTCTCAGTCTCTGAGAGTACTGTTTCAAAATTTTCACAGCAATTGTCTTTGTAGCTCTGCAGTGGTACCTGGATGCCCAGAGGTATAACTTCCCTTTATAACTTCCCTTTATAAGTCTAAAAACTCAAAAAGTCCTGTATACCCCTCCTGTCCAATTCACCCACTTATCCTCCTAATGATTGTTTGACTAAATGTCCTGAGCCTATACCATCTAAAATCTAGAAGATACTTGTGTAGCCCCCTTCCTACACCAAGGAAGCTATTATGTTCAGAAAAAGAGAGACCTATTTTCAGATCTCAAGGGAGATTTATCCTCCTAAGAATTACTGAAATAAGGTTCTAGCACTTCCATCATTACATCAAAGGAAGGAAAAAACAAAAACAAGTTTAATTTATGGTATGCGTGTAATACATACATATACATACACACACACACCCCCTTATGTTATTTAAACTTCTTTTTGTTCTAGGTAACACTAGTGTGGAGACAATATACTAATTAGTTACAATCTTATGAAAATACTTCAGTTAATAAAAACAATCAGACTGCTCCATGGGCTTTTCTTCTCTGTTATAGACAACATGATTCTTTAAACCTTTCATAAGGTCACTATTTTCTAACCCTTATTCATTTTTCTCATTCTTCCTTGATTTTTTCCAGTTTGTCCACATCTTTTAAAAAGCATAGTGACCAAAAGTAGCCACAATATCCTAATAAATAGCTCATGAATGCATAATATAGCAGAGAGATTACTTCCAAATGCTTCATGAATTATTCCTTTTAATCAGTTCCAGAATCTGAGTGGCTTGGGGTCAGCATCAACACCCCAGGATTTTCTTTTCTGTGTCCGCCTAGTCAGTCCTTTCCGTTTATTTATTCCTTTACTAAATTTTAATCCTGTTTCAAAAACCAATATTTTTGCTAATGTCACCTTCATTCTAATTTTCATATGTCAGAATAATGGCAAGACTTCTAAATATTAAATTCTTGCACATCTCAAAGTCTTTACACATACTAGATTGAATTGATTATTCAGTAGTTTTAATTTATTGAGTTTTAAAATACTATAGTACTTTGTATTTTCCCTTCCGAATTATAACATTTACAAAGAAAAGCATGATTAAGACAATAATTCACAATTGCCTTCTGATTTGGGGCAAATTATATTGCATTTACTCCTACTTTAGCAATAATATAGCAATGTTGTACAAAACAAAGACCTAGTTCTGTTACAATTGAGCACTTCTTTCAACAAAGTGCTATCACTACAGAGAATTTTTTCTTGTGATTTAATGTAAATTATGTATTTATTTTTGTACAGATGGAGCCCTGCTATGTTGCCCAGGCTGTTCTCAAACTCCTGTTCCCCAGTGATCTTTCTGTCTCAGCCTCCCAAAGTGCTGGGATTACAGGACTGAACCACTGCACCCGGCCTATTTTAGTTTTATATACCAAGGCAGCTCTGTGCATGGAAGCAAATAGGTTAATCAAATCATTTCTTCATATTCTTTATAGCATCATTGTTTTATGTTAAGGTCATGGATATCACCCCATTCAGAAAATAATAACAAAATGTGTCAGATTGTTCCATAATTCATTGAATCAAATACCTTCTAATCAAAATCCCCGGATCTTGAAATGACATAGAAATCATCAAATAAGACTCCACAATGAGAAATATGAGGTTCAGGCAATTTTTAAGAGATTTGCCCAAAATCAGTTAGTTAGTAATCAAAAGTGGCTTGAAAATTAGTTATTCAGATGCAAAATCTTAAGTTCTTTCTTCTACACAACATCATCTCCTGAACTTTCCATTTCAAGAACTTTTAATAAAATGTAGAGCTAAATATGAATAATATATAGAAGTTTAAAATCTATGAACTTAAGCACCAATGAGATGTAGCTTTATAGCAGAAATATATTTTATTAGTATTGAATAGTTTGTTGTAAACTCCATTTGTAATGAGACCCAATTGAACTTTGATATGTGTAATCAAATAATGTAATAAACAGGCATTGTCAATGACTGCTTCGTAATTGTGCTGTTTTTTTAACTTTGTCATTCAGTTCCCAATCTATGCTTTCATATAGTGTGCTCTGTAAAGCTGGAACCACAACTCTGCGAATTACACTTCAAGGACTTCTTTACCAGTGGCATCACTTTAAGTTCCACCAATAGGAGGAACTAGAGGGAGATTGGGAGATAGGAGGAGATGGAGAGGGACTTCTTTAATCCTGTTTGCTTGCAGTGCTTGTCAGCAGCACCGCAGCAGTGGCAGTTGATTTCAGCATTCAGCCTTTTCTGCTTCACTTTTCCTGCTCAGAGGTATCAGCTGCAGCCAGGCAGTGCACACTACTCAGAGGTCTGCTACTGGGTTCTGGTTACTCTAATCCCTTCCCTTTGTTTTTGGAACGGAGTCTCCCTGTGTCACCCAGGCTGGAGTGCAGTGGCCTGATCTTGGCTCACTGCAAGCTCCGCCTCCCGGGTTCATGTCATTTTCCTGCCTCCGTCTTCCGAGTAGCTGGGACTACAGACTCCCGCCACGACACCCAGCTAATATTTTTGTATTTTTTTTTAGTAGAGGCGGGGTTTCACTGTGTTAGCCAGAATGGTCTTGATCTCCTGAACTCGTGATCCGCCTGCCTCGGCCTCCCAAAATCCTGGGATTACAGGCGTGAGCCACCGCGCCCTGCCTGTAATCCCTTCCCTTTCTTTCCCAGCCCTGGGGGTGAGAGTTACTTCCTGCTCTTACTTCATGCGGTTTGCTTCCGTGCTTCCCTTTGCTCCCAAACCCTCCAACAACTGGTTAACAAATTTCCTATATTAAATCTCCCCATATTTAAAAACATTTGATCTCCAACAGAGTACCCAAATCAAGAGGAAGCCTTGACATTTTGTTTCTCTTTATTACTCAGAATGTTGTACTATTAAATTCAGAATTCTCTACTATTTGAGAGAAGGGGAGAAAAAAAATTGATAGACTTAATTTCTAAATGTCTACCTTCTCTGGAATAAAGCTCTCTAAAAATAAGCAGTCATGTAAAATAACATATCTTCCACCAAAAGTAGATTCTAAAGTCACTGTGCAAAACCAAAATAGGGTCCAATGAAATTATCCTTGAAAATCCCTTAACAGTTCATTAATACAGTACATGTAGTTTTGAGTAAAATACTATGTTTAAAATATTTATATAAAATATGTATAAAATGAACATTTTATTTTACTAGTACCTATGCAAAATATAATTTAAATAATTCTATTTAAATTGTCAATTTTTGAACATTTGTTGAAATCTTACAGTTCAAATTTAAAAGTGGATTTATACAATCTACTGGATCACTGAATTGTGCAACTAAGTCAAGTATTTGTAGAGTTGTGAGAAAATGTAGAAATTAAAATGCTATTTGTTCCCTAGGATATAGTTTTGGAACCCAAGAAACATAATGTTAGCTAGCCAAGTTTTAGTTGTCTAGAAATGTAAGACCTTTAAAAAATGCTGATATAAGCATATGCATACTGTGCTAATTAGAAATGATTTAATGTACTTCCTACACTACATCTATTTCATAAGGATTCCTAGGAGGATTTAATAACTAGAGTGAATTTGAACATAAAATAAATGCTTATAATTTTCTATTAATTTTCAAATGGATATGATATTAGTCTGGAAATACTTGTGAAAATATTCTTGTTTTTAAGTTTGCTGTTAACTTTTTACAAAAGATAGTTTTCATCATATAGATGTAATATATCATAAAGATACAGAAAAAGACTTCGTTTTTTTTAAATGTAAAGTTTTACAGTAATTTTTCTATATAGTCTTAAGTTAACCTTTTTTGTATCTAATTTTTATCTAGGTAAATTCTTGTGATTCCCGCAAATACTATGTTATTAATAATTTATTTTATGGACAATTTCATTTTCACTCAGAATTTACACACTCTTAGTTTGGCTTTTCAAATGTTTATTCAACTGTGTTATTCTCTATGCATTTATTCTATGTTTTTCAAAAAATCTTTTTCCTGAATCAGCAGTATAAACAATTATAGCAAATTATTTACTTACTTAATTATACAAGATAACTAACAAAATTAAAAATATGTAAATTATAATCCAGCTATTACCCTCACCATAAACTGTGTGATAGTAAAGTGGATATTGAAAAAATTTTCAACACCTGTGACAAGGGAAAAAGTTTTAAAAAGAAAGAATATTAACAGATAATTCAGACCAAAAATTACTTCCTCATAAATATTAAAAATATATTAAAAAATGACATGATTATTTAAATCATCTTTATTCATATATAGAAAGTCTGTGTTGCTTTGTGTACTTTGTTTGGTGTGACTTTTGTATTAGTTAGTCCTTAAAATTCACTAAGCTTCAGACTTTAAATATAGGGTGCTTAATTGAATTAGAAAGCTCTTCTACAACTAATAGTCTCCCAATATAATAGTCCTGGGCAAAATAGGACATAGATAAAATTTGAGTCTGTTCTTTTACCTTCTTTCTCTATTACTTTGCTTTCCACCCACGACGTCTTGGAGCTCCAGGAAGCTTAGATTGTTTACTTAGCGCCCTTACTAAACCTGTCATCCATAGGTAGTGTTCTAAGCTCCAGCATTATCCTTTCCTTTTTATTCCCAATGACATTCCTCAAAACACATGCAACCCATCACAGCTAGAGGTAAATAATCTGATAAAAAGATTCGTATATTTGCATGTTTATAAAAATTACCCCAAGACTTCACAACTTAGAAATTAATATTTGGAGATGATATGATTTCAGATAAAGTAATATATTTTTAGTAAAATGTTAGTGCAGCAGATCGCTTGGGAACCAGTTGAAAAGTTTGAGTTCCTATGACATATATATAATTTTTAATATCCTACCTTTCAGCTTTGAAAAGTAATATCAAATATAGCAAGAAGGGAAAGGTCTCTGATGAGGATGAGTGAGGGGGAAGATCTTCATGACGGTCTATAAACTTAGAAGTTTGAAAATTTTTACTTCAACGCGAACAACTTCTTCACTTATTAGGTTTGTAAATTGTGATTCTTGAACTGAAAAAGCCAAGACAGAAGAAAAAGAAAATTAATCTCACTTCAGAGAAAGACATAGATGATAGTCTTCCTCATAAAATAATGTGATTATTTTCTGTTTGGCCACCACAAAGTATATTTTCAAAAAAAGTTAAAGATGGAATTTTGGCATGATTTTATAAAACTTGAGCCAGATTATTTTATTTTATTTGGATCCCTAGTTTATCTCAAGACTTGGAATTCAGGGCCAGCCCATTTGTGAAACTTTCTAATTATCTTCAGAGCCTGAACTAAGCCCCACACATCTTTACGAGAACTGCTTATCCCAGAATCTTGGCAGTTTTGTGAAGAAATGGTTACCTTCAAGAAAAAATATGTAGAACATAATTATATTCAAATAGTCTACCTGACAAGACTCACAGTATTAGTTATGAAATTTGACATGTTAATACTTTTCATTGTCTCAAACACAATTTACGATTAATGAAATAACTCACGAGATGTCATACAATATATGTGAAACAAGATTTTCTCAGTTTCAAAAGTTTCTACAGTGGGCAGCTTTGCAACTTGGGGAACTGCATTGTTTTGATGATTGTATTAAATATCTTTAAGTTGGTATACACAATGCTAGTACATGTTATTTATTATCTTTGCTTTTATTAGATTACCCCCATTATGTTTGTTCGAAGTGTAGACGCATAGTTTTACTCATTCAGTAGAACTTTGCAAGGTGTTGACCTCTTCATGTTGGGAAAAGTATTTTTATTATTCAAAAATGTGGTCCCTCATGATGAGCAGGATTTCGCTTGTTATTTTGTTTTGCTGCATTCCTTTTTTTTTTTTTTTCTGAGAATCCCAACAACATAAACATGGTTTCAGAGTTTACAATAAGTTTGTGTTCAAACAATTATAGCAAATGATTAACTTATTTAATTATACAACTTGGAAAATTATAAATGTAGAATAATTATTGCTATTAAACTATTAACATAAAATTATAAGGACTTAATTGTGGTTCTAGCATTGAATAAAAAGAAAATCTGAGATACAGTCCTGATCTCTAGAGGTCTTCATCTCGAAAATTAGGCACATTTTAACATCATTTGTCTGCAAGAAAGTTAATATTCAAATAATACTAAAAATAAAAAATAATAAAAATACTCAAAAATGACCTCATTATAGCACTGATGTATCTACATATGCAATCCTAGATATTGTGTGCAAAGTGCAGATCATGATTCAGTAAGTTTGGGATGGTGTCTACGTGTCTATTTCTCTAATAAATTCCCACACTATGTTGACACTGCCAGTCCATGGAACTTACTGTGAATACTGTGGCACTAGAATAGCACTATCCAATAGAACTTTCGGCAATGATGAAACAGTTCAATAGCTGTGCTTTCCAATATGATAGGCAGATATAGATAGCTATTGAGACTAGACATGTGGGTAGTGGGACTGAAATTTTACTTTCAGTTAAATCAATTTGCCTATATATTGCCATGTATATCTAGTGACTATCTTATCGGAGACTGCTGCTGAAAACTGCCTAACCGTTAATACAGTATCCCTAGATATACAACTTACAGTCTACGAACTAAAGGAAGCTACTTCAGTAAATATATATATAATGTTATGAATAATCAACTTTTTCTAATAAGAGACATATCTACTAAACTAGGGAAAACAGTTGATGTTTGGAGGTAAATTTGAAGAATTAAACACGTGTTTAACCCAAAATTGCACTGCTAGTGAAAGGCATGCATTCTCAAAAGGAGGATAGTGTCACCAACAAAGTAAAAATTGGTTCTTATTAAAGGGGCAAAAATAACATTTAGATATTACCATGGTTTGTACCCCTCCAAATCTCAAACTTACTTGGGAAAATCTTATTCCTTAGTATTTAGTTTATCTCATTAACAAGACTTGCTATTTAATTTTTTCTCTTTAGAGGGGTGATCATGTAAAAAAAGATTGAGAGACACTGGTCTAAGGTAAGTATCATGATAAAGTGTACCTGAATTTGAATCAATTCATTTATTTTTGACAGCTCCCTAAATCGCTCACAAAATAATATAATTTCACTTTTTAACTGTCAGAAAGTGTCATAAATGGGACAGTTTTAGGAGGTGACTTTCTCTAAGTGGGACTTGAATTTTTCCTTTTATTTTTTCATTTTTTGAGACAGGTTCTCTCTCTGTTGCCCAGGTTGGAGTGCAGTGTGGCACGATCCCGGCTCACTGCAGCCTCCACCTCCTGAGACTGAGGCAGTCCTCCCACCTCAGCCTCTCTAGTATCTGGGACTACAAGCGCATGCCACCACGCCTGACTAATTTATTGTATTCTTTGTAGAGATGGGTTTCGCCATGTTGCTTGGGCTGATCTTGAACTCCTGGGCTCAAATGATCCACCTGTCTCTGCTTCCCAAAGTGCTGGGGTTACAGGCAAGAGCCACCGTGCTCATCCTTCGATATTTTTAAGAAAGCTTGCAAGGCATTTCTCACTTTGCCTTTGAAGAAACAAAAAAGATAAGGTGGAAAGGAACGATATTCAATTAGTGTAGACTTACGAAAAATGTCACAAATACATTACCAATAAAATTAAAAGTCAGTTGTAATTTTTTGACACTTAAATCGACTTGGGAAACATTAAGACCATTACCAAACTGTCGAGATGTTCACCTCCTTGCTTAAGACTTGAGCTGTACAATTAGTTTAGGAAGTCCACATGTTCTGCCTGTGCAAGCTAAAGCACTCAATGATAAGATTTGTGTACACCAAAAACCCACATGTGAAATCTCTGTGGACCAGAATTTGAGGTTACTGCGGTGCTGTGGCAAGGAGCAAAAGCTCTCAAGGATCGTGAAGAGGAATTTCGAAATTGCCATTTCCTCAATGTTATTGGCTAACCTATTAAATGATAACATTTTCCTAACTGTGAGCTTAAGTAATAACAATTTCTGGTGTCAGGGGAAGCGTGATTTAGTCTGCACCGATGACTGTCCCCATGTTCTCTGCAACATCTTATAGAAATGTGACTTACAGTTAGTGGTGTGCTAGTACATGCTTAACAACCAGCTCTTTGGGGAGACAAAATCCATGATTTATAGAATTTTCCAGTTCTCATAAAGTACTCCCACTATGTCTGACAAGACATTGCTGAATATGCAACTGGAAGAGATGTATGGTATCACTGAATTCTACAGTATTTCTACCATACAGCTACAATAGGTGTAAATCACCTCAAAAGAATAGATAATAGTAAAGTGCAGTGAAATAATTAAAAGTGATGAGTTTTAATCATTATTACCATTTATTTTAATATAATTCATTTAATTGTAAGCTATGTAAATTAATTTTTGCTAATAGTTCTTTTTAACAACTGGTTCACAAAATGTCTAACAAGATGTAACAGTCAAAGCTTGTGAGCAAGTAGCAGTAGGTTCCAGCCCACCACTGCCTGTGACAACAACAAGAGACCGTGGGCTGAGGATAGATTTATACTGCAATAGCTGTAGGACCTATGTGCCTCCAGGCCTTTTTATTTTTTTCATGGATAAGACCTTCTATGAGACCCATAGGTTAGTGGCTTTATTGATCAATAAACGTATTAGGTTGGCTTTATGAATATGACCCAGTTCCCTTAATACTTTATTTATTCCAGCAGGAAACAATGTGCTTTTCTGTTATATTTGTTTATCATATAATTTATTTACATTCTATATTTTGGCCTCAGCATTATTTCTTGAAAAGTGTCTCCAACTGCTTTCTGTATCATCATATCTACTATCAGTAATATTTATTCCTAAAGTAGAAGATTTGGTTTGCATGTTACATTGAAAGAGGGCATGAAATCATAATAATACATGAGGCTTGCATCACATTTTACTGTTTATAATGTGTATAGCCTGTTGATATACCATAGAAACTTCATGTGGATACATTTTAACTTCAACACAAATTTTACACCCAGTTGCAGGGTTTCTGTGTCATAGTGAAATCCACTTCAGTGCACATTTATTCAGCATTTACCATGCATAAAGAAATGTGGTGTATTCTATTAAATATGAAAAACATGAATTATTTTGTCATTTTAATCAGACAGGAAAACAAGATGCTTATTATAATAATTTGGTCACTTTTGAAGAGCATTGAGAGTTAGAAATTTTAGGCTAGTAAGTTTTTACTGCATATTGAAGCAAAAAAGAATATAAGGGCATAATCTGTCTTTCTGTTTCCCTAACACCAACCACTACTACTGTTATCATCCAATATTGAGGATTTTTATTTGTACCTTTGATTGTTAGAAGCAATAATGGAGATTGAAAAGAAAAAGTCTAGGAAGAATTATCTTGATTCAAATAATAAAGGGATTGCTCTGGATTAAGAAGAAAAACACCAGCATAAAACGGTACAAGAAAAGTTTAGAATTTGGAGATTGGAAGGGAGTATTGGAGGAGTAGCCATCACTTTTGAGGACTCTGAAGAGATCAAAAGATTTGAATAAGTTTAGGAAGTTTCCCTAGGTATTAGGTATTTTTCAGTAAAACTCATTATTGCAAATTTTTTTTTTTTTTCAAATTGGATTTGGTTTTCTTCTAGGTGTGTCACCTCCCACTCAATCTTTGATGGAAAAGACAGCAAAGGTAGATAGCTACAGTGCAAGCATATTACTGCTGCTTTCCTCCCCAGTTCTCTGTCATTCATATCCATCAAACTCTAGAATGATTCTTTGAATATTTGCAGTCCGTGAAAATTTTGGTTTAATCATCATTAAAAAGGGTAAGAATGTTATCACATTGAGTTATAAAACAAAATATCTTATTTCTATTCTTATAAAACTTGCATTGTTAATATCTTTTTCAGTCTTCAAATAGCATAATCTTCTGACCTTACTCCTTTTACTCCCCATATCAAAATGGATTCCAAGTCAGCTGGGACAATAGTGCCTGTGCTGCTGATTGAATCACACTGCATTTTAAAGCATACTTCAGCAGTTTTATTTTGTCTTTTGACCTA